TCTCAATCAATCAATCAATCAATCAATCAATCAATCAATCAATCAATCAACCAATCAATCAAACAATCAATCAATTAATCAGTCAATAAAAAAACAATCAATCAATCGATTTTTTTTTATTTATTTTTTTTCACACATAAAAAACCGCCCCCCCAAATTTCTGAATTTTTTTTTTTTTGCACAAGCCGACATCGGCCGACGTGCGTAGGCCGTGCACGCGAGCCATTTTCCCACGCGCGTCACCGCCTGGCTGTGGCGCGGCCGCAAAAAAACTCCGTCGCGCAGCCTGGGCCGTGGGCCCGCAGCTGGCCTCCTCGGTCGCGGCCGAGTCAGAGGCAGTCGCGGCCTAGGGGGACACATAACAAGTTTCAGCCCCTCCCGCATGATCCATCCTACACTCTATTCACCACAATCGCCACGTGTCAACAAAAACGGCGCACGTGAGACCCCGCAGTGCATTGTATCTCCATCACACAACGGAAACGCCCATTGGTAGGCTGCCTAATTTGCAGCATAAACAATTGGTGTGCACAACTGCCCACTGCGACGCTTACGAACTAAAACCATCCCAAAAAACTTTGAACCCCAAGGCGCATATAAACGCTTCGTTCAAGGCAGTATAAAACGACGGATCTGCCCTTCTGCCAAAACTGCAATAACTACACATCCACTCGCTGTAGTCCACCATGCCAACACGACTGAATCGTGTTTCATTCGTCCTGCTGGAGCATTCCACAGGTCCAACACTTCGTCTATCGAAGTAATCATTGACACAGGTTGAAGGGGTTCTTGAATCCCCAGGTCAACACGTTGTCACATACCATTAGCGTCCACCTCCCATAGCAGATTCTTGTCGAATGGAATTCCAACGTCGATCAGTATGTTGTGCAGTATACAGACGACGGTGAACTGCTGCGGAAGTGTGTCCAGGTGCGTCGTGTGCATCTGCAGAAATAGCGGCCACATGCCCTTCAACCTGCCAATCGCCCTCTCCACCGCTCCCCTCGCCACGTTCTGCTTGTTGTCAAACTGCTCCTCATCGACATCGTGATTGACGCCTCCATACGGGACGACCATCCATTCTGAAGGGGGGTAGCCATTATCCGCCAAAACGTAGCCGTTCATCCGCACCCCAAACGAGAGTGTCACAGGAGGACTATGGAACAACGACCCCGACTCTTTGCGCCGCCACAGGTTGGACAACTGGAGCACCCTGATGTCGTGGCATTTACCTAGCTATCCCATGTGCACATCGAGTTGTATGTCATATCAACGGCCAACGGGAATTTTTGAACGCCGTTGTACCCGTTGAATAGCCCCAGGGGCCCCGTTGAAACCCCGTTGAACGTTTCGACGGGGCCTTCCCATTGAACAATATTTAACGGGCCGAGCC